GGGCACTACTGGACTCGCACCGGCTCTCGTTTCCGTGAAGGCGGCAGATCGAAAGCCGCGAGGATACGATAGGAAAAGCTTCCGGGAGAGCTGGGCCGCTTCCAGACTAATCCAGCCCCCGTGGGGAAAGGGCGTCCTGAGAGCTGTTAAGCTAATAGGATAACCGTACGCACACACCTCGGTACGCTGATGGGCGGCAGCTGAACGTTAGCGGCCACGCGGTTAGGGCCCGCTTTGCAATATCCGCCAGTTTTCGAAAGGAAAATTCAGAGAGCGCCTCAGGGCAAAAATAGCAAATATTAACAGCACGAGGGCTAAGCAATCCCCCGCGCCCCGTTCCCCAAGTGCAAAGTCTACTTCTGAGAAAGTATGTCAAGCGAACGTTACTTCCAAGTTCGGAGCTGTCAACGCCCCGCGCAGACCCCGGCGGCGGTTACACCTTGCAGCGCTACCCGGGAACGCTGCAAACCTCTCTCATCCACACCGTTTATGTAACGAGTTGGTTCTTCGACTACCCGTTTCGAACGAACGCCGGGAGCATTTCGAAACGCCCCTGCTGGTGCTCTGAGCGCCGGCACCGAGCACTTCCGCTCCTCGCCGTGCCGCGGCCGCTCTCCCGGCAGGGCCCCCCGGCGCTCGGAGCGCCGCCCCCGGGCGCTCCCGCCCCTCGCCGTGCCGCGGCCGCTCTCCCGGCAGGTCCCCGAGGCGCTCTGCCTGCCGCTTCCCCCCCGGCCTCCCCACCGCCGCCGCACACACGCACGCGGCGTCACTGCCCTAGCCTGAGAAAACACTTCCCCCATCTCACCCACCGGCTGAACCACCGCTTCTGTCCTACTCTCCCTCGACGAGACAGCCTGAGATCCAATCTACGACAGCCAAGCGCGGAGAGGTGACCCAAGCGGCCTAAGTCCTCTTGAGGTCTTTCTCCTACCCGTACAAATACCGGTTTTTAACGACCTATCTGCAGTCTGTAGGACAAGCAGCATTTCGCCGCGCTGTTTTCCTCAAGTTTTGACCTCCCGCAATGGTGAGAGAGAAGACCTCATCTCTCCTTCCCACCCGCTCTCCCCGAATGAAAACTTGGGATGAAGCTTGTGTCTGACCAGGCAGCGTTACTGCCATTATATTCTTAAACGAGGAATTTATTCAGTGCGCACGGGCAGAAACACTGTGAGCACAGAGTTCACTTTGCTTTCTAAACCTCGGCCTCCTTCTCCCCCAGCTATTTGGGGACGGTTGAGTAGTTTCCACCGAGGCTGAAGGTCAGCTGGGGCACACGGGGACCCGCGCAGAGCCGGGACTCCTTTGCGGCGCCCCCCGAGCACGTACTCGTCTGAATGCTTCTGAGAAGAGAACGTGTTTCAAAAGTTATCGGTGTGCCTCTCTCTCTCTTACAAAGCAGATACCACTTAAAATCCTGCTCAAGGATTGTTTTTTTCACTAGCGCTGGTCTAAAAGGTGTAACTAATCAAACCAGAAGGTAAACAACAGAAAACAAGTGTATCCTCTGGAAGAGAAAACATTTCTCCTCAGGAGAAGCGCAGGCCTGAGCTGATGAGATCTTTGCAAGAGCTGCAGCTGGAGAACTCGGTGGATGACTCATACCTTTACTTTTTTTTTTTTCTTCTTCTTTCCCCTCCTCCTTTCTTTTTAAGGAGGCCAGAGATACCTGTTCTTAAGCGAGAGAAAAGTTACTTCCTGGACTACACAGAGCATATCCAGTTTACCATGCATAAAGAGCTGCCGTTCATAAGCCCACATTGGTTCACAGGGACAGAGAGGGAGAAAAATAAATAAATAAATGGGAATCACTCTTGAATGCCATGGTTCTCTGACTCATCCATGTTACCCTTCCAAAACTGAAGTCAGGGCTAGAATTATGCTACTACTCATGGTGCTCCAAATTTTGAAAGTGAGATTGATGGTGGCGTTCAAGTAATTCATCTCGGCCTGAAGCACTGCAAGGATCTGCTCAGAACGTAGTTCTGAAACTTAAAGGCTTGAATGAGGTCACTGCTGGAGTCACGCTTCCGATGTCAGAAGAGGAACAGATTTAGTAAATCGAGATGCTGCTAACTCCAGAGCAGCGCTTGAAAGTTTACACTTCCCCCAAGGCGAATGGAAAGTTTTTTCCAGAAAGCGCCAAAGCCTGTGCGATTTCCGAATCTGCACATTCAGCCCTTCGGCTAGACAGATACTAGAAACGAATCCAAGATAAAAACTTGCATTAGGGTTGAGACTGAGTCACAGTGCCCATTCCAACGCTGCTTCCATGTTCAAGAGCAAGCTCTCCAGTCTTGGCTGTTGTTACCTCTGTTTCAGTTCCCAGCAACGAGGGAAATAACATTCAGATCCATCAGCGACCGGCTACCACAGATCATCTGTCTTGTGGCCGGCTCTTTTTACGATGCAGTTAAGTTTTTCAAAAAAAAAAAAAAAAAAAAAAGAAAGAAAGAAATCAAGAAACATTCCGCTGGGAGGAATATTACATGGATTAACTTCCAGTCAGAGATGCCAGGCAAATTTTTTCCAAACCCTGTCCACGAGGCCTGTGGCCCTGTGACTACGGGGAAAAAAAAAAAAAACCTGCCGAAATGTGACTCATGGAAAGGAGCAATCCAAGAACGGCGCTCTACAGTCATACATGCTGCTGTAACAAAGGTCTGATTTTAAATGATAAGTGCTGACATTTTGAAAAATGACTAACTACTGCAATGAAAGAGACATGAGTTTACTCTTCTGCAGCCTTGTCTACAAACTTGAAGTGGTTTAATTAAGCCAGGCTAAGTTCATTTACACAGCCACACCCTTAACTGACGCTCAAGTAGATGAGGCCTAACCTAAATGTTGCAGAATAAAAATGCTTTCCAGAGCATTGCAGCTGCCGTAGGACCACCGTCCACCCCTACACGCGGCGTGCTCCCCAGAAGCTGAATAAAGTTTTCTGGCAATCCCTTAAAGCTTTGCAACAACATGACACTAATGCCAAGTCACTAACGCCTGCCCTTGCACCTGCGGTTGGGGGTGCTGGAAGTTGCCTCGAAACCTCATCTGTCCATCCCTTCTGTCGTCGGCAAACTCCCTACTCGAAGGCGACCAGACCGTCACCCCAGCTTCGGGCTGAAACCGTTAAGTGTTTCCTGCAACGTTTTTGTCTCCCCTTCAGCGTGAGGAACTGCAGCTGTTAGAGAAACCGTAGCCTGCTGCATCCTGCCCGGGCTGCCTCGCCCTGCCCTGTCCCCCCATGCATTCCCCTGCTGCACCTGCCCAAGTCCTTTTATTGGCTCACTCCTTTCCTATTCGGGCACCGCACCGAAAAACGTCCCAACTTCACATCTGTCACTCCACAAGCACCCTTATTCATAGTCATCGACCCTTTTGTCCATAGCTGCATTTTCCACATTAGCCTAAAACCTTCCCTTTCCAACCAGCTAGTTTCTTCTGTTAAACACGGCCCTGTCCTCCTCCGCCACAGCCCCTGTGTGCCCTCTCACAGAAGCTGCCGTGCACTGTATGACTTTTCCAAGTCCTCATGCAAGTTACTTGGGGCTGGCAGCTTTACCAAAGTCATTACAGATTTGACACTGAAGTTTGCTAAAAGAAGATTATTAAAAGTGGGAGTATTAAAGAAGCATCATCCTTTCCATTTATAAAAATAGTCACTCATCTAAGTCTCAAAAGAATTACAGACAGGCTTTCAAAACTGTGAAATATAGAACAGAGACCTCTTTATGTCAGCAGAATGCACTACTCCAGTACCATCTTGCCCCTTTCTGTTTCTCTCATAATTAAATATAAGTAACATACCAGGAGAGCTCCACTGTGTAATTGCTTTATTTTCTGCTTATTAGTTCTTTACCAACACTACAGCCATATTGAGAACACAAAATTCCTGTTTACTTTAGTCAGGGAGATCACAGTCTACAAACTCATTCACTTATCGGACACGATTAACGCCATTCAAAACTTACTCCATAAATTCACATGAACACAAATTGATGCACTTAAACTTCAGATTAGTTTTTAAATCATTGGATTTCTTACAGATTGCCACTTTATCCTACAGGCTATGTTTACTGCCTCATAGCCACTAGTTCAAGGTGAGGTTCAGCTATAACCTATAAAGGACATGTTGAAAGTGAAAACTGTATTTTGTTCAGTAGCAATGGCCTTTTATTTTTGAAGTCTCTGCCACATGTTTCAGTAACTTTTTTCTCCCAAAAAAAGACATAAACAAAAAAACAGAAGCATAATCAGTTTCCTTTCACCTACAAAAACAGAATATCTAAAGTAACAAAGTTACTAAGGAAATAAAAAATTGTGAATTCAACTTAATGCAAAGTCTAGCAAAGAAGTCTGCCCCAGCATTTGAAGAGGAAAAAAAAAACAGTAAACCAACTTAGACTGAAAATGAAGTTATTTAAGTTTTCATTTTGACTGAGAATAGATTTAAGAAAGTTCAAGAACCATTAATAGACCTTCAAGTTTTCCAGTTTAGGCATTTACTTTGTGCTTGGCTATTTTATTTATGCTCCAGAAGAAAACAATAACCATATTCTTATATTTTTAGTCTTTATACTACCACGCTATTTGTTAAGTTACATCAACAGAAAAAAGAATTCTTACGCTTATAAAAAAAAAAAAAACCCTAGAAAATAGAGCAATGATATTCCAATGGCAAAAAGACTTAAGTGAAAAGCCTCACCTCCTCTTCTTCAGGACTGAGATTTAAGAGCTTTTGTACTGTACGTGAAGCTTGTTTTTCCAGACTCTTATCTTTAACTTGCACAGGTTTATAATCAATCAGTGCTCTATCTTCTAGTATCAAGAACCCATTCAATCCCATTTGCAACCCACATCAAGATAAGTCTTCTTTCGGAACCATGCTCTAAGGTAATTTGTAAGTGGTCCAAAGCATACAAATTCAGAAGTGAATTCAGCATTTTTATCTTCCCATATGTCTTTGGTAAGAGCTCCATACACAATGCATTTAGCATGCAGAGTAAACACTGCAGAAATGTAGTGTAATGCCCCAATTTCATGTAAAACTCATAACCTTGGAAAAGGAAGGAAAAAAAAAAAGAAAGCCATTTTCTTCTGGTTTTGTAGCATACATTCCTAGAATTCCCCAATTGAATTTTAACTCCTTGAGGAAATCTGAAGTTAATCCTTAAGGCTGAATAAGAACCAGCTGCTTTACATTTTTTGCACCCAGTATTAATACTTGACTGAGATTTTATACTAATACAAATACTTGCTTTGGGTGGGTTTTTTTTGCCAGTCACATCTGAAAACTGTGACATGGCAAATGAGCTGCTTGCCCTTTAAGAACTAGTTATGGAAGTTTACATTCATAGTCGTCTTCCTCACTCTCTCCTCCCGTTCTCATTAATAGTTACTCAATGGGCTTCAGACATCCAACATAGTTCCTTTCATACAGGACTACAGCAACAACATGCTACCGAGACAGATGGCGAAGACTGCAACTATTTGTATGAGTTAAGTCTAGTCTTGCAGAACTAAACCAGTAAGTGATTTCCTCAAAATGGCAATCATTCACATGTCAGAATTACTGAGCTCTGTTAAAGCTTCGCGCTGAACTTGCCCATTCGGGAGTCTACAAAATGGAAAAATAGGGTTCTGGTTCTCCTTTCTCCAATACATGCATTTCAGAAGTAACGAAAATAAATCCTTTTAAGGTTTAAAAGATGTCTTCAAGTGTCTTGAGATGAAAGCAACTTTTCTTTATCGCAAGACAGTAAAGTCAGTGCTAGATTTTTGCCTAAACGTTTGTGATTTAAATTAAAACTTGTCGCAATGGTTACACGTTATTGCTGCATTTTTTTGGAAGGAACATACCTTGCGTTGAATTGGAGACTGACACAAGTAATAAAAACTGCAGCTAAACATCATTAAGTTTGCAATGCAAGACAAAAACTGAACAGTATATACCCTGGAACTACTACATCATTCATGTTGTATTTGCTATATGGTTGCTATGTAGTATGGGGAACTTACTTGCATCCCTTCTCATGCATGATGTATGGTTCAGAACTTCACAGCTGACATTTCAAAGCAGTTCTTACATTACCTAGTTAACATTATGCCTGATATGCACTTTGAACATATTACAATGGTATTCTCACTATCTGCCACTGTAGGCAAGATTTCGTTTCATTATTAGTCTGAGATATGAAGACAGACTGAGAGTCACTATTTAGTTACAGATTAACAGAACTTTTAAAAAAGTCCTTAATATAAAAAGACAGACTGCAGTTTGATTTTAAGCAATAGTTTTCCGTTTACTAGATGAAGTAGACCTATCAACATATTCTGCATGGATGCAAAAAAGTAGCAATCTACAGCAAGTGATAGAAGAAAAAAACGTAATCAAAAAAGTAGAACCAGAAAGCATACGCTGAAAATGGTACCCCTCCCCCAACCATCCCCCAAAATAATCAAACCATCTTAAAGGCTATCAAGAGGAAAAAAAAAAGTTACTTAGCAAGTCTACAATGTGTCTTTCCCCTGTTTGCTGGAGGTCTGCCATAGCATCTAGTGCTTGTGTTCGTGTCACGTTTGAAGATTAGAGCATCCTAACGCCAAGCAAGGAGAGTTAAAACAGGAATCCAGTCAGTGTGTAGAACGAAAGGGTGGTAACTGGAGAAAGGTGATCATAATCCTATGGATGCTTTTGTTTTACTTTTCAGTAGAGAATCATTCGTCTGGAAAGCCATGTGGGTTATTTTTTTTTTAATTCTTTGTAGACTAAATAGTTATTCTCTCATTAGGATTTATAATTGGATGTTAACCATGTCAGCCCTTCGTAGAGTCCATCCCCTGTAGTAGCACAGGAGGGCTGCACGTACCAATTCCTATCCCTGATTCGGGTCAGGCCCAGTTTCTCCTGGATTTCATGGGGTTTCATGGCATCGGGCAGGTCCTGCTTGTTGGCGAAGATGAGGATGATGGCGTCCCGCATCTCCCTGTCGTTGATGATGCGGTGGAGCTCCTGGCGGGCCTCGTCGATGCGGTCGCGATCGGCGCAGTCCACCACAAAGATCAACCCTTGCGTGCCCGTGTAGTAGTGCCTCCAGAGGGGACGGATCTTGTCCTGGCCCCCGACATCCCACACGTTGAACTTGACGTTTTTGTAAGTCACCGTCTCCACGTTGAAGCCCACGGTGGGGATGGTGGTGACCGACTGGCCCAGCTTCAGTTTGTACAGGATGGTGGTTTTACCGGCCGCGTCCAGACCCAGCATCAGGATCCGCATCTCCTTGTTGCCGAAGATCTTGGACAGCACCTTGCCCATCTCGGCGGCATCCAAGGGGCCCGGCGCCGGC